GTAGTTTAAGTGTGTTCTTGGCTATTTGTTCATTTATGTGTGTATATGTGTGCGTGCACATGTTGCCATTTTCTGCTCATTATCTCACAGAGCTGCTGGGAAAGATTCACCTGAGTCTCTCACAACCTCTTTGCCATTTTTGGTTTTGTAAATGGAGAGAAAACACAGCCCCTGATCAGGCTATCAGTGCTCCTCCGAGCTTGAATAAGCCAACATAATGAATGATCAAAGGAAACAAGCTAACTTGCTAATGAAGGAGCAGTAGGCTGTACGTGGTTCGTTGCAACGATAGCACATACAAATAGTAAATCTTCAGTTGTTTAAGATACTGTGATAGGTGATGTGTCTCTTGATTTTAAAATACTTTCTCCTATTCCAGTAACAGCAAGTTACTTTATTAGCCAGTTAAATAAAATATACCGGAAATATGTTAATGAGTTGACTGTATGACAGTTTCAAGATAAAAACATTAAAAAAAATAGTAAATAGCATATAATTAAAATGTGAAAAAGGCAAAAGATGATGAATTTAGTATTGGTTAATGTAAATATGGATAATATTTATGTTCACAATGACTTTGTTTTTTTTTTTTAAATAAGCAGAATTATAAGAGTGTTTCAAAACAAATCAATTTTTGTGATTGCATTTGGTGCAGAGCAAACAATCTGTTGACTCTTTTTTCAGCAAGAACACAAATTATAGTTCCCTAATTCATTCGCACAGTCCGCTAACAGAATTTAAGGCTACGGTACGACCCAATTTAGCAGGGAAACTCCCATAAGCATGATATATTCTTGCTGCCATGTTTCTGTGGCTCATCTCATTATGGATTCTTATCACTATGTGAAGTTTCCATGCGCAGTATGAGAGAGCGAGATAAGGCTGGGGTTTAAAATCATTTTAGGCCTGGCCATTGTGATAAAAAATTATAACCTCTCCTCTTATCTTTCAAGCGCAAGAGAGGAATCATCTGATGTAGAGGTATGTATCTGCAAAAAAACACTAAAGAGTGCTGCTTTGTTATTAGCTGAGCTGTTGAGCTGCTTTGCTGTCATTGGTTCACTCATTCCATGCTTCACTCTGATTGGCTCACAGGTCGCCAGGCCCATAGCGACTGTTGGGGATTAGCAGAAAGCTGCCAGAGCCGCTGTTTACATTTGTGAGATACCCTCAAAGTTTCTGTTTACCTCAGAAGCTATGAATCCCTGCAGTTATGTGTCTTTTTCTTTTTGTGTGGCTCGCCGGCTAATATAGAGGGATTCCGCAACATGAAGTTAAATTACAGCTAAGAACAGCAGGGAAATGAAGGAATATGTCTCTCCTGTCCCACCTTATGGTGAGTGACACTTCATTTTAACATTGAAGGAAATATTTTAAAGGCAATGCGAGTTATTCCATTTTGATGAAGGATTACGAAGACAAATATTTCTATCTTTGGAGTAATGTGCTTCGTTCACAATAAGACCAAGAATATATGTTGAGAAATTAAATTGAGCCAATTTCAAGTTGACTTTTAAGCTCTAGTAATATCCTTTCTTACTTAACTTTTCATAGTTTGCTTCTGTCCTCGCTTGAATGATTTCCTTTCTACATTTACAGACACACACAAGACTCAAAAGGCACTGAGGAAGGAACAAAACAGAGATGAGAGCGAGCGCTAAGATCCATCCTATGAAAGTAATCATTCATAATGTGTATTTTTGAGATGTAACTCACACAGTGTCTCGGTGTCTATTTTGCATTTGTTGTGGCTTCAACAATCATCTCCGAGGAGGTGAGTAATGGCCACAGCGGGGAAAGAGGAAGGCATCAGATATTCAACACATCGAGTCATCTCTCCTCTGCTGTCTGTACCTCAGGAGGATCCACAAACTTCAAGAAGACATTAGCCTTGCAGATAAAGATGTGCCCCTAAAAAGCAATACAAGAGAGACGCTTTGAAGGTGACGGCGCCCAATCTTCATCAGATTAATGGAAAAGTGAACGGAGATCGTAAATGGCGTGTTTCAGATCCCCTCAGTAGTGTTCAGGCCAACTACAAAATCTGTCCACATTTGAACCTTTTTTTGGCCAAGAACTTGCGAACATTGGGTCACAATGTGTTTGTCACCCGTCACCTGTAGAAAATTAATTGTGAAAACTTGTTCACACAGGAAGCAGCCGCACAGCAGAGGGTATTAAACGTGCCCATCCAGTCGTATTTGTAGTGATCAACTTTGGGGCCGATAACTCGCAACCCAAGTGTCCAATTACGCAGTAGACTGTGGGGCCACTTTAGATTTAATTAAAGGCAAGAAAACTAATATTACTTGTCACTGCACCTGACGGAGCACGATGTTGGTGAGGCTTACTGCTCGTTAGCGGATTGGGGCAGGAAGTTGCACCTCAATGATGTACTGTTAGCATCATCCTGACAGACCATCACTGAACATTATGCAAAATGTATTCATACGCTGAAAGTGAGAAGAGAGGGAAGGAAAGAGAGAATTGGTTGAAAGAAAAGAACAAATAGTGCTAGACATGATTTTGTTTGTGGTGGTTACAAAATAATTTTATAAAGCTCATTAATATTTATTAGGTTATTTCAACTTCAACCAATTATTTTACTGTTTTTATAATTTGGTAACAAAATAAATAAATAAATGTTCCTAATATAAATGTTCAAGCATATATAGTATATATTTACAAATTAATTTAATGACTTTAATATATGAACATTTTCATAATATAATATACTATCATATATTATTAATGCATACACTCTAAAAAATGCTGGGTTAAATATAACCCAGCGCTGGGTTAAAAAGGGACAAACCCAGCTATTGGGTTGTTTTGACCCAGCAGTTCCCAACCGCTGAGTCAAAACAACCCAATAGCTGGGTTTGTCCCTTTTTAACCCAGC